AGAATAGAGCCAAGTGTAAGTGACACTAACTCAGAAAATCCAGTAGTTACGAGAAGCGGTAGAGTCGTGAAACGACCAGAAAGGTTTAATTTATAAACTTGTAGGATAAGGGGGATGTTAGGGAACTGACCATAAAGGCCCGAGCACAGACTTTTACATAACGCATAAGGCATAATGCATAAAGCATAACGTAACGTTCTTCAACGCACAAGCTTGTGCATAAGGCTTTACATTCTAACCTTAAAATTATTTGAACACCGAAATCACATGGTGAGTAAGACGATACATAGAGAGCATAGAAATTTTAAATATCTTTTATTCAGTTTTTATTTTGAGATAGGATTTTGAGTTTTGATATTGAAAATAATGTTACAGAAGAAATAAATAGGAACACACAATATTGAAAAGAAAATCAAGAGAACTTTTTTTGTGATTATAAAAGTGAGAATGTAAGTATTTGCAAAGATATATTTTATATAATTTATTATATATGTAATTATTATATTATTATTATGATTATTTATATATACTTGAATATAGTTTTAATTTTCATCATTTTTATTAGAAATGGTCTGATCTATCAAAAAAAGAAGGGACAATAAAAATAAGAAGAGAAATTGAAGAGTATTTATTCTCTAGTAAAGATGTAACTTTAGAAATTGCATTTACGACATCTGGCTGCGATTTTCCTTTTGATTTTATTTGCCTACTTAAACCTTTCTTTCGCGCATAATCAGAGGCACTTAATACTGATATTGAAGAAGCATCAGACTGGCATGATGTTACCGCGTCGCTTGATTTGTGTGAAAGTGAAGTTGAGTCTCTAAACACAAATATAAATTTTTTTTAAATGAAACAAATAAAAAATTTATTAAAAAATGCCATAAATAAAAATGCTTGTAAAAATATTTATCTTTGATGTATTTTTGCTTGATTTATTTCTGTAAAAGACTGTTGTTGTTCAAGTAAAGTAGTTGTATTTGTAGGAGATACATTAACGTTTCTGCCACTTAAGCTTGTAAATCGATTTTGTTCCAATGATTCTGCATTGTTAACTTTTGAAAAATTCTGTTGTAAGGTAGCCACATTCGCCAAAGAGAGATTTTCTTTTTCGTTACTAAAGTTAAAGTTTCTAAAATTAGAAAATAAAAATTTTATTACAGATTTGCAAATAAAAGCGCTTTTAATTTTATATGAATTATGTATATATCTTACTTT